CTGCTGGGGTCGTCTCAGTCTTTCCTTGCCTTTGCCAAGAGTATAGGACTTGACTTCTCAGACGGATGGGTACTGACTATGGCACTCTGTACCCAGCAGTGCACTAAGCGCTTTGCATGGGTTGTCTGCTGTTCCTCTCGGGAGAAATATTGCAGATGAACAAAGTGGAATTGAGACAGAGGGCAAACTTGGCCAAGGTTCCCTGGTTCATGAGCGATGAAAATGGGACCAAAACTCAGGTCTACCATGTGCACTTAATGAATACAGTGCTTATGGAACATCCATCTATTTCTAGCCTAGATCTGGAAATATATACCGCCCAGAAATGCTGGCTCGATGCATCCTGGGTAGTCATAGATACTGCTTAGGAATAACAGACCCTAGCAAGAATGACTTAACCTTAATGTCCTAGACACCTTAGAAAACACAGAGACGAAGAGGCAGATAACACTGAGAACCTACTATGGACGGGATATTGTTTTCTCATCAAGGAAAACCGTTATGCAGAGTAGGTGCTACCTCAATTCTACAGATGTAGAAATAGACACAGATGAAATAACTCGGCCCTAATACAGGTAGTCATGTCAGAAATAGTTCTCAATTCAAAATCCACCCGTTAGGTCATCTCTGCCCTTTCTCCCAAGATGTCACAGAAAAGACCAGTCCTTCTGGAGGTCCCTACAAAGATCAGATGCCTGCACAGCTGCCCCAAGGCACAAGGCTGTGGGCCTCCAGGGATGGGCAGTGTCTGAGGGCACTGGAGGGGGCTGGTCTGCTTCCCATCTCCTCTCACACCAGGCCTGGCACAAGGAAGCTGCGTTGTCTGCACCTCACCTCTGACTGAGTCACTGGAGTGTGCAGGTTCTTGTAAAGAGAGCTTGGAAATCTCCTGGCATTTTTTATAAACTAGTGAAGCTTTGTTATAGAGAGAAAAAGGCAGATCAACCAACAGCCAGCCATGCCCCCAAATTCATTCTCCCTTTCTTTCTGGACAGCTGAAGATATAATTCCAAAAGTAGAAGAATCAACTTGATTCCATATTGGCGTGCCAGAGGCCAGTGCTCACACCTATAATCCTAGCTACTCAGAAGACAGAGAACAGGAGGATCGTGGTTCAAAACCCTGGGCAAATAGTTCAAGACACTAGAAAAAACTCCTTACAAAAAAAAATAGGCTGTTGGAGTGGTTCAAACGGTAGGAGCACCTGCCTAGCAAGGGTGAGGCCCTGAGTTCAAACCCCAGTGCTGCAAAAAAAAGAAAAAAAAAAAAGACCAAGGAGTTATTTTAGACAAAAACTATCCAAACCTTTTAGGATTTATAAAGTGCATGCCTCAGTAGAAGAGTTTAGCAGATGAACACACTGTAGAGAAATCTGGAGGAGAGGGAAGAGAACACAGGCCCTAATTCTGAGTCATGAAGTTCCATTGTCCCATCAGCACTGCCTTAAAACCTTGACATTAGGGGCTGCTTCAGCCTCCCCGACAAGGTCTGACTTAGATTCAATCAACTGCAGTAAGGTGTGTTGTAGAACTGCGAGAGACAACTGACCCTGGGTCCCTCTGTCAGATTCACATTCACCAGGGTTCCCACATCTGCTTTGCTTTCAGCCCCTGTTGCAAGTGGAAGCTTCTCACCGTTCGTACCTATGTCACCCCGCCATAAGGCTGTAGTAGGGGCAGACACTGGGAGGGCAGCTGACCCCAGCTGGACTCGGTAGCACTGTCCAGTGAACCCCTAAAAAGGGGGGATACTTTCATCCCCTCGGACAAGTCTTCCTGAGCAGGAAGGGTGAGCCGTGTTGCTACCCAAACAGTAGAGGCAGTAAATCGCCCCACTTCACCCAAAGAAAACTTAAGAAAAATAAGCAGAGTCTGCCCTTTCCTCTAATGGGAAATCAGCATATTTTTAGAAATGTGCACTGGCTAAACACGTGTAGATGTTTCCATTGCCAGAGGAGGAAAGAAAGATTAAGCGGCTGTCTCAGACGGGGCCGCAGGAGAACGGCAGGCAGCGCGTTAGTTTTCCTCTCTGTCTGGTCCTGACACTCGGTCCCCAGGGCAGGGCAGGGAGGGAAGTGGACGTGAAGAGGGATCCTGTCCTTAGGCGTGAGCTGGACCCTGGGCTCAGCTCTCACTGCCTCTGGCTGGGTGATGGGCCCTTTGTCACAGTGCTGAACACACATGTGGGCAAAGAGAACCTGGAGGGGATGAGATAGGTTCCTGCTCATTATTTGTCTGGGCTGGCTTCAAACTGCAATCCTCCTGATGTCTGCCTCCTGAGTAGCTGGGATTACAGGCATGAGCGCTGGCGCCCAGCTCCGTTGCTTCTGTTCTTTCTTGCACTGGGCTTTACTCAGGCCAACAGTGGACAGGGTCCCAGGAATGGACCTCCTGTCTTGCTCCTGGTCAGAGAAGGAAAGCATCCGGTCTTCATCATGTTAGCTTCGGGTTTTCTGGGGATGTCCTCTATCAGGGAAAGTTCTGTTCTATCCCTACTCTGTTGAGATTTTTTTAAAGTCACAATTGGATATTGAATTTTATAAAATAAATGCTTTTTCCAATCAATTGACATGATCATGTGTTTTGGTGTTTTTTTTTTTTTTGAATGTCAATACATCAGAGTACATTGTTTTTCAAATATCAAAAACAACAGGTGAGAGTTGTGGCTGCACCTGAATGGGCAGCACATCCTGTCGTGGTGGCAGTACACGTGGGGACATGGAGATGAGGAGGAAGAAGGCACCACTGCTGCTGGCTCATTTAGCCACCTCAGGACATCCAACACCTCCACGGGGAGTCTGCTGCTGAATGGGACCCGAACCAGTTCCAGTTCCACCAGCCCCAGAACCTCCTGCCAGCCGTGGAGGGAAGTAGGAGAGCTGGCAGAAGCAGAGCCCGAAGCAGAGCCTGGCCCCGAGGGAACAGGCAGCCCTTCACGAGCTTAGTGAAGTCCTCATCTACCTGGTGGCATTGGAGCTCACTGCTTGGGGTAAATGGATCTGCCCCAAGCACTGCTCTCCAAAATGGACACCAACCAGCGGTACTACCCAGTCCATGTGTCCTGCAGTCCTTGCCTGTGAGTCTGTGAGCCAGGCCTCAACCTGGAGACACGGGACCAGGACCTGCAACTCAGCGTGGCATCTGAAGAGCAGAGGGGCCTGGTCATAGAACTTGGTCCCCTCCTTTCCTAACCAACCATGGGTTTGAGGCCCAGGAGCCTGCAGAAGATGACCTCCTGGTGTTCTCTCCCAATAAAACGGCTTGGGGTGGGGTGACTCCAACTTAGTCATCGTGTGTCACTAATTTTATCTGCTGCGGGACGGTGTGTAGATGTGTGTGGTGCAGTACTGTCTTTTCTTGCCTGCTCTTTGTCTGGCTTGGGTATGGCTGTGATGACCCCATCATAGGGGGTTCCCTCTTTGATTTCTGGGGGGCTCTGGGAAGGACTTGTGTCATTTCTTCACATGCTTGGAGGAGTTTACCTGTGAGACCAGGTGGGATCTGGAGCTTCCTTTTATTGAAAGATTTCTGGTGACAAGTCCAGTATCTCCAGTAGACGGCCATCGAGGTTAACTGTTTCTTGAGTCAGTTTGGGAGTCTGTGTCTGTCAAGAAACTTGTGTACTGGCTCTTGTAGAGCTCCTTTATGACGCTGGTAACACCTGTGGTAAGATCCTGTCTTTCATTCATCGTGTTAGCAATTTTTGTCTTCTTCCCTTTGACTGTAATGAATCTTCAAACAGAGTCAAAGAATGCGCTTTCGGTTTCATCGCCGCTACTGTTGTTTTCAATTTCACTCGCTTTGGCTCTATCAGCTCTGCATGTCCCTCTTTCTGTCCCCAAGTGGAAGATGAGGCTGAGCAGGCACAGATCTTATCATGTACCTCAAGCTCTGCTGCAGAAAAGCCTGCGTTTTGATGTATTTTTATTTTCATTCAGCTCAAAATGTTTTCTAACATCTCTTGAGACTTCCTTTTCTAGAAATGTACTGTTTGAAGTTTTTTCAAGATGTTAGCTAGTGTCTTTTTACATTCTCTCTCTCTCTCTCTCTGGTACTGGAGTTTGAACTTAGTGCCTACACCTTGAGGCACTCCTCCAGCCCTTTGCGTGTGTGTGTGCGTGTGATGGGTTTTTTCAAAATAGGGTCTCTCAAACTACTTGCCAGGGCTGGCTTCAAACCTTGATCCTCCTGATCTCTGCCTCCTGAGTAGCTAGGATTACAAGCGTGAACCACTGGTGCCCAGCTGCATTGATTACTTTTGAGATAGGGTCTCACTTTATCCCCAGCTAGCCTGGATCACTAACCTCCCTTTTGTGCTTTCCCACATAGCTGGGGTGACAGGTGTGCAGCACTCCACCCAGCCATTGGTTAAGATGGGGTCTTGTGAACTTTTTGCCCTGGCTGGGCTCCAACCACGATGCTCCTGATCTCTGCCTCCTGAGTTAAGTAGGATTACAGACTTGAGCCACCATGCCTGGCCATTTTTTTGCTTAACATTGTGGTATCACTTGTATACTATACAATTCACCCACAGGAACTGCAGGATTCAGTCAGTTTTTAGGATATTTGGGGTCATGCAACCATCACCAGTCAATTTTAGAGTTTCTTCATCCCCTTGCAAAGAAACTGGAGCACACCACTCTATGCCCCCGTCCCTACACAGTGACTACTGACCTTCTTCCTGTCTCTATGGATTTACCTGTTCTGGACTTTCATAAGAAGAATTAAATAATGAGCAGCCTTTGTGAATAACTTTTTCACTTGTAATGTTTTCAAGCATCTCCCAGGTTGTAGTGGTGTATCATTTGGATATACCACATTTTCTTTATCGTTCATTCACTTGTAGAGAATTGGGGTGTGTCCACCATTGGGCGATAAACTTCAGTCTACAAGTCGAATGTGACATATGCCTCCATTTGTCCTGAGTGTTTACTTGCAAGTGGAATAGTTTGCCAAGTTTCATCTTTGAGGAGCCAGTCATCGTTTTCCGGACAGTCGCACCGTTTTGCATTTCCCACCAGCAGTGTATGAGAGTCCTGGCGTTCTGCCTCCTCTCCGACATTCGCCATCCTCGCAGAAGGAAGCGTATCTGACCGTGGTCTTAACTTGCATCTCCCTGATAACTAGTGATCCCCACCCATCATTTCACACGCCTATTGATCGTTTGTGTATTTTCCTTGGATAAATCTATTCAGATCTTTGCTCATGTCTTATTAGGTATTGTTATTATCACTGCCGTTACTGAGTTGTAAGTTTCTTTAATAGATACTATGTACGTCCTAATTTGATTTGCAAATATTTCCTCCTCCTCCTCTGTGGGTCCTCTCCACTTTGTTGATGGGGTCCTTTAGTTAGCAAAGTTCATTTTAATGAATCAAAGTTACCTATTTTCTTTTATTCTTGATGTTTTTGGTAACTTATCTAAGAATGCTTTGCCAAATACAAAGTCATGAAGATTTACCACCCCCCCCACCCCCACCCCCACATGTTACTGGGGTTTGAACTCATGGCCTCTAGGCTAATGCTCTGCCACTTGAGTCCCTTGCCCTACCCCTAAGATTTCTCTTAAGAGTTTCAGTTTTGGTCTTATGTTAGGTTTTTATCCACTTTGAGTTAATTTTTGTATACAATCTGAGGTAAAAATTAAGACTTCATTCTTTTCCATATGTCTACCCATTTGACCCGGCCCTGCTTGCTAAAAAGACTATTCTTTCCCTAGTGAACAGTCCCGGCGCCCTTGCCCAATCAGCCGGATTTGCTTCTGGGTTTCCAATTCTACTCCCTGGATCTGTATTTCCATGTTGGGGTTCTTGGTTGCCATTGCAATCAATTTACAGCACATTTTTAAACAGGAAATACAAATCCCCCTAACTTTTCATTTTCAAATTTTTGTACTATGCCAAATCCCTTGTAATTCCAGGGATCCCTTGGATTTTAGAATCAAACTGTCAATTTCTAAAAAAAAATCCACAATTAGCTGGGATTCTGACAGGTATCCTGTTCGCCCTATAGGACAATTTAGGAATTTAGGGAGCATTGTCATTTTAACAATATAATTTAATATCATGTTTTCTAATCCAAGAACTTGGGATGAATTTCCTTTTATTCAGGTTTTTTTCATTGTGTTTTATATTTCAGTGTATAAGTTTGGGTGGAATTTAGTGGTAAAGCAATTTGGTATAGAGCTTTTCTTTGTGGGCAGTTTTTGGTTAATAATTTAATATCTTATTATAAGTCCATCTGGAGTTGGCAGTTAATATCTTTCTTGGAATTTTCCCATTTCATCTGAGTGACATGCAGTGGTCATGGTATTCTTTTACAGTTCTTTCCATTTCTATAAACTCAGAAGCAAAACTCCCTCCTGTATTTCAGACTCTGGTAATTCAAGTTTTCTCTTTTGTTGACTAGCTATAGGTTTACCAGTTTTGTTAGAATTTCTGCAAGAACCACATTTCCTGGCACAAAATTCCTAAAATCCTGTAGTTTCTTGGGTAACAGAGGTAAGAGGAGCATCTTTCATTATTCACGATAAGCTCCTTTCAAGCATTCTTGAGTCTATGCTAATGAGGTGACCGTGATGGGCCTCTAAACAGCTCCAAGGAGGCTGATTGTCAGTGGAACCAACCACCTGTAGACAGAACTTTCAGGGCCAGGCACGGTGGCTCATGCCTGTAATCCTGTTTATTCGGGGGCAGAGATCAGGAGGATCCTGGTTGAAGGCCAGCCTGGGCAAAAGAGTTAGCAAGACCCCATCTCAAGCAATTAAAAGCTGGGCTTGGTGATAGGTGCCTGTCATCCCAGCTGCATGGAAAGCCTAAGTAGGAGGATTGTGGTCCCAGGCCGTCAGAGCAAAAACTCAAGACTGTCCAAAAAGGAACTTACAGCACAAAGGGCTGGGAGCATGGCTCGAGTGCTGGCATACCTGCCTAGCAAGCACAACGTCCTGAGTTCGACACCCAGTACCACCAAAAAAATCTTAGCCCCACCTGAAGCCCCAACCTTTGAGACAGCATGGAGATTGAGTTACCCACAAGGGCCAAAGATGTAACAATCACACCCGTATGGGGTGCTTCCAGGTCAGCAAAGCAAGGAAGGAAGGCGGAGCACCCCAAGCGAGTGGGGACAGGTGCCCCATGTCTGGGCCCCGTGCAGCTCATCCTGTTCCCCTTCAGTTGATTGTTCACTTGTGTTCTTTATAATAAACAGACTGGTTTCTCTCAGCACTGTGAGCTGTCTTAGCAAATCACTAAACCAAGGAGGGGGGATTATGGAAATTATCAATTTATAACTAATCTGTCAGAAATACAGAGGCCGGTGGTTTGAACCTGCATTTGACGTGGGACTGATGCCAATCCTGGAAAGTGTCCACAATAAACCGTTGCCCGCCCAGCTGGCGTTAGAACATCTACGTGCACGTAAGTGGAAAAGCCCAACAGATCATATGGCGGTCCCCAACCATCAAATCATATTTTTTAAACCCAGAGGAGATTAGTGTCTGGTATATCTCCTTACAGTCCCCATCTCGATGTCTCCCTCTAGTACCGTCTCTCTTCCTTACCAAGTCCTTCAGAGCGGGTCACCTACCAATGGGCTTTGTCTTCCTTGTTTTGAGGCTCTGTCTCTGACCTGACCTCTGAAGGCCATTGTCACTGGACGTAGAATTCTGCTCTGGAGGTTTCTTAGGTCGCACTTCTTTCTTGCTTTGGTGATTTGTGGAAAGAACTCCACGCTCATTTGGATCTTTGTTCTCTGGTACACACAGCAGTGTTTCACTGTCTGTTCACAAGATTTTTTCCCCCTGGGTTTTCAGTAGTTTGCTCATGGCTTTCTTTTGATTTATCCTTTTGGGGAATTGCTGCAGTTCTGGAATCTGTAGGTTTATGTGTTTCACTAGACTTGAAAAAATTGGGAGGGTACACAGTTTCTCGTTTCTGGATATTCTAATAATACAAATATTAAAACTGTTGGTAGTGGGCCAATGTTTCCTGGCTCTACTTTTTTTGCAGTCTGTTGTGTAAGTTAGGTATTTGCCTGGTCTGCACTGCAGCTCACGGACTTTCCTCTGCCGTCTTGTTCGGGTAGTAAACCATGCACTGAAAGTTTGACCTCATTTACCCAACTGTGTCCAGCTGGACACAGCTCCTCTTCTTGCTGACAATTTCCAACCTTCCAATCACTTCAAAGGGTTACTATGCCCACACTTGGAAGTCCTAGTCCCCTAATCCTGTCGGCTGTGTCATCTCAGCCTGTGTGACTTTGTTCCCTGAGCAATCAGCGAGGTACCCCACCTCGACATTGGAATACCAGAAGCTTCTGGATCCTGCTTAACTCCTATGGAGGATGTGGCATTTTTGCTTTTGCGGGCGATCAACCAGTTGTGTTCTGAGTCCTCACCAGCCTCGCTTGGGTCCAATCTCCAGTACCAGGGAGTTTTGAAAGCTTCCCGATGCGCTGAGAGCGCCGGTCTCAGGCCTGTGAAGTGACTTGTTCATACTCAGTACTTGTAAATTTATTTGGGTTTTTCTTTTCTAAGTAGGTACTGAATCCCCAAGATCGCATGGCAGATCCATGCGAGCCACCAACAAGCTGGACACCCACCTTCCCCGCGCAGTGGGGTTTATTACCCAGGAGGCAGAAGGCAGGAAACCGACAATTCCAGATGCCGTGAGACTAGTTAAAGGAAACGAGCAGAGTGGCTGAGCGGGAGAGATCGCTTTTTGGTCCAGTCTTAAACCCTGTAAGGACGGAAAGCGATCACACATTAGTTAGCATTGATGAGTTCACACGGTTGAACCTTCTTATACAAGTCCCTGGTACCTTTATTACTCAGGCACTCTCATGCCCTTCCAGCATAAATATGCTATTTTGTGGTGTTTCCTAAGAATCTTGCAACTTCATTGAGTTTAATGATACTTTGTTTATCTTTGGCAAACAGGATTCTATTTTGGTAGAATGCTTCTAATGCTGTCTGTTGAGCATATGGTTTGCTAGGAATTTTTTTTCTTTTTTTTTGGCAGTACTAGGATTCAAACCCTAGTTTTGTGCTTAATAGCCAAGTACTCTATCACTTTAAATGGATCCTGAGGCAGTGTCTTAATCAGTCTTGAATTGTGATTATCCTACATCTGTCTCCTGCCACACCTGTCTTGTTCTCTGAGATAGGGTCTCATTAACTTTTTGCTCCAGACCAGCCTCAATGATCCTCCTATCTCTGCCTCCCAAGAAGCTGAGATTATAGGTATGAGCCACTGAGTCCAGACTTGTGATTACTTCCTCACAGATCTTTTTGATCTGGATCATGGAATAGAGTTTATTAGGGGTTTTTTGGGGGATGGGGAGGTTGAAGTTTGAAGCTGGGGGGTTGAACTCAGGGTTTCACACTTGCTAGGCAGGTGCTCTACCACTTCAGCCATGCCTCCAGCCCACTGGTTGTTTTTAAGTAACAAAATAAAACTTATGCCAGGTGTATTGGCATGCACCTGTGAGCCCAGGTATGCGGAATGCAGTAGGTAAAAGGATCAAGATCCAAGGCCAGCCCCGGAGAGACCCTATCTGAAAAATAACTAAAGTAAAAAAGGGCAGGAGGTATGGCTCAAGAGGTAGGGCACCTGCTTAGCAAGCTTAAGGCCCTGAGTTCAACCCCAGTACCTTTAAAATAAACAAAAATTATACTCAGATTCCTCACAGGGTTATCATTTTTTGATAAAAGAACTATTCCCAGTGATATAGTTAAATCAGGAAGAAAACCTGCCTCGGCACACCCGTGTTCACTTTTATCATTTCCCCCAACATGGTGCTCGTTGAGTAACTCAGCAAACCTGAATCCAACCAGCAAGTAACACTCTACAGAAAGTTCTGTTCGTTGTGTTAGTTCTTCCTAACTGTGACAACATACTTGAGATAAACAACCTAAAGTAGGAAAGACTGATTTTGGCTCTCAGTTTCAAGGCCACTGGTCACTTGGCCCCACCATTTTGAGCCTGTGGTGAAGCTTGAACATCATGGTGGGGACATGAGAGGAAAAGGGGCTGGGTCCCAAACCCCTTCAAGGGCAGACTCTTGGGACTTA